CGCACGCTTTGCATAGCAGTCTGTCAAAATGATTTTGTGAGAAATACTGAACGTTTCAAAGAGATTTTCGTACTAGAAGTATTTTAAAATGTGAAGAATACACCCCCGGGAGTACAAAATGACCTTAGGACGTACGGATAGGGTTAAACTCGTGTTGTTTGGGGAGTTTCCAAGGAGGCTCTCCACCCACTTGGCTCGATCCTATATCGGTGATGGACGTTAAATTTGGAAGCACTTGACTCGTATATAACCTTACAGTGTTGAAACTGGCGTTGAAAATATTAATGGTTAAAACCAACAAATCAAGGAAAAGAACAGGAACCTAGAGTTACCACAAGAGTTCTGGAGGTGGCTATACTGGGGTGCTTCCCATGACTCATGAAACAAAAGCTCTTAAGGTGTTTCTATCAAATGTCGTGGCGTGATCTTTACTTTCTTTCTTTAAAAAAAAATGCCTACTGATGTTGTTATCAGCACTCCTACTTCCGCTGCTCCCTTTGTTGTTACCGTCTGATCTGACTTTGTATTTTGATTTGTCTTGGTTTGGTATTTGTACATCTTTCCTTTTCTCTTTTGCTGCTTTAACTTTAAAGTGTCTTTTTTTGGTAGGGGGTTTTTGGACTGTTTTTTAAATATTTTTCCCTTCATCTTTGTGGTTGTGCGTTTTCTTGTCAACAAAAAGGGAGGCGCAATCTGAACATTTGGCCTGGGATCTCATTTTTCAAATTTCATTTCTGGCGAACATTGTGATGATTTGAGAGCGACACTGGTAAGTATCATCTTTCTTTAACACCCCCCTCCTCCCCCCCCCCAACCAAACAAATAAGCCCATGGTTTATTTCGTTTGGTTTTTAAAAGGCTTGTTTGTTTTGTACGCATCTATGATCTATATAATGGTTATGTGCTTCCCGTCAACACAGCAGGGCATGAGAAAAGTGGGAGGTTGGCGGGTGCTCTAGTGTGGTGTGCGTCTTCTTTTCAATCAAACAGCTATCGTTTTTATCTCCCCTCATTATTTTTTGTTTCTCTTTTGTAACACCTCTAATCTTCGGCACGTATATGACCTTATTGTGTTTCAAGTGCAGTAACACACTTACTAAAACTTTAAAAAGCATGAGAGAATCTGATCTTTCATACAAAGCTCAACTCAACAAACGAAAAATGTACATGTACTTGTGGACATTGTGGGTGCCTGGAAGGTGGGCCTGACAGCTGCTGTCAAAATTTGCTTATTTTCAATTTTTAATTCGCTATTTTTGGGGTTCTGCTTTTGAAAGTTGATTTCTGTTTTGTTCTGTGCTTTCCTGTGGTCGTGTGTCTTCTTGTTATCAAAGCCAAGGATATAATCCTGGCACAGGGAGCTCAACCAATGAGGTGAATGAAAACACAAGTGAACTTTTGCGGGTGGTTGAAGGGTGGCACTGGATTTATGAAACGATAATCGAATGAACCTGTGTTGCAGTAGGACTGCAAGTTGAATAACTCGTGACCTTCCGATACTTCAATGCAAGTCGAATTTGAACTTATTAATACTCGTATTATTCTTCCAACAGGAGGATCCAAGAAGTCTGTAAGTCAGAGAAGGGTCAACATGTTTCTCATCTCTCCAGTTGTAATTTGGTCTCTTTTGAGGACAAGAGGGCTAACCCAGATTTCAGGGATTTCCAGAAATTTTTATTCACACCAAAGGTGGGTGTATTTTCCTACCTATAGGAGACGTTTGGTTTCATTGGTGTGTATATTCTTTTGGTTATAGAGAAAACTCTCCTTGTTTTTAAAGAAACTGAACAATGGGCACAAATTTTCTTTCGACTTTTTCAAAACAGCATTTTTCGGGATACCACCTTGTGCTTAAAAGCGACCTTTTAACATCATTCATTCTGGTTCTCAACACGTAAACCCAGCCAGGTTCAGAGCAGTACGTTTTAACTTTATAAACTTAACACAATGCATGTAATATAAGAGTAAGACAAGAATTGGGACATCATAATTTCAAACATTTTCCCTTTATCTTGTATTCACAATTGGTCGGTTTTAAGGACAAGCGGGCTAACCCAGATTTCGGGGGTTTCCAAAAATCTGACTCGCACCAAAAGTGGACATTGTCTTACCTATAGGAGAAGTTCGATTTCACTGGTGTGTATATTTGTTTGGTTGTAGAGAAAACTCTCCTTGTCTTTTAAAGAAACTGAACAAGGGGTAAAACTTTACCTTCGATTTTCTCAATACAGCATTTTTAGAGATAGCCACCTTGTTCTTAAAAGCAACCCTTAACATCATTCATTCTGGCTCTCAAACAGGTTCAGAGCAGTAAAATTTAGCTTCATAAACACAACAAAGGATATAAAAGTAAGAAAAAAAGTGGGACATCATAATTTCAAACAATTTTTCAATTTTATTATGTATTCACAACTTTGTTCATACTTCTGGGCTTAAGCGTAAACGCTCTCACTGGCCGGCACGCCGGTCTCTCACCTACTAACAATCAAGAAGACCAAACATTGTCGTGTAGGCCTACCTCAATGTGTTCACGACATGGAGACTTCTTGATTTTTAAAAAAGAAAATTATAGATAGCATTTGTATAGTGCAAATCCCCACTCAACAACAGGCTCTATGCGCTTAACAATATTTTCTATTACCCCAGCAGACCTGAGAGCATTCTGAAACAACCTCAACTTCCTGGGAAGCATACAGTGCAAGCGGCAATTTATACGCGCTAAAACACTAACATGCTGACAAGATCTTTCACTGTCTATGGCCGGGTACCCATTCCCACCTCGGTGAAGTGAGGAAAATTCGTGTAAAGTGCCTTACCCAAGGACACAACGTCGGGCCCGCGGCTCGAACCCCCGAACCCACAACCTCCCGATTACGAGTCCGGTAGCCTAACCACTAAGTCAGACAATAATAATAATATGATTATGTTTTGTAATCTGAACAGACGGGGCACAGTAATCATAAAAGAGGTAAAGAATAGAAAGGGTCTGAAGTGTGGGAGGGAAAAAAAGGAAGTATGGAGGGAAGGGGGGGGGGGGATAGATTAGATTCTTAAAAACCATAATGCAAAATGAACACCCCACAACTCCAAACCATTCCAAAGAGGGGTGCGTTTGCCATTATCTTAGCTGGTATCACTCTGAGCTGGACTAAAGTACAGATGCCCCTCATTCCAATCACACACAGAGTATTCTCAAACATGGTTGTTTGTTTGTCAGTTGTTGTTGAAGACGTTTTTTTTTTAAATTTCGAAGAGTTTTCAGGGCTCTCCACTTTCTTGACTCGGACCAAAGATCGTGTATAACAAGATAGTTCACTCCTCTCTTTGAGCCCATTAAAAAGTGTCCTCAAAATTCGGTGGTGCCCTGTTCGAAGAAACGCGGACTTTGCGAACAGAGTTAGCTTTCTGGTGTGAAAGACAATAAAAGTGAAACTAACAAACTGTGCTATTCCTATTCTTCTTCTGGAGAAGCGAAAGAGAGCTTCAAAACAAATACTGCTGCGCCATCTGAATCAATGCGCGGACTTCTGCGGACACTTTTTTGGCTGAGAGAACTATTTTGTTATGTACGGGCTCTGCTAGGACCTATCGGAGAGCGACGTGACATTCAGAGGTCCAACCTTTAACACAACCCTACAGCGTTAAAAGGGACGCTACATCATATTTCACAGACAAAAGGTGTTTCGCACAGAAAAAATTGTTTTCTAAACGATGTTCCCTTTCCTGCACTTTAGATAACGAGCTGTCAAAAATTGAAACAATGTGCTAGATATACTGACACATAATTTTTGTTGCTTTGATACAAGTCGGTTTATCTATGTAGCAACTGTAAAGTTTAATGGAATCGAATATTTTTCAAATCACGAGATAAGAAAAAAGAAATAACAGATGTGAAGATGAAAGACGTATAATATTTATAGCTTATGATAATATGAGAGATGACGGCAGTAACACACCAGTAGAGAGCCCAAAAGTTTAATACACGTACACATTTACCAACAAATATTGGCTTGAAACATATTATTATAATTCGGAAGAGTGTAGCTTGCTTCTATGTACAACATATATTCATAATAATATAATAACCTCTCCCAATCTCCATCTGCTATCTCTCTCTCTCTCTCTCTCTCTCTCTCTCTCTCTCTCTCTCTCTCCCTCTCTCTGTTTCTCTCTCTGTTTCTCTCTCTGTCTCTCTTTCTCCTCCCCTCTCCCTCTTTTTTGTATTCTCTACATCTCCATCTCCCCTTCACACTTTCTTTATCTCAACCTCTTTTTTCCATCTCTCCATCACGACGTTGGTGCCTTTTTTACTACTTTTATCTTTCTCTGCTGTCCTCTCTCTCTCTCTCTCTCTCTCTCTCTCTCTGTCTGTCTGTCTCTCTCTCTCTCTCTCTCTGTATGTGTCTCTGTCTCTCTGTCTCTCTGTCTCTGTCACTCTCTCCCTCTCTCTCTGTCTCTCTCTGTCTCTCTGCCTCTCTCTCTCTCTCTCTCTCTCTCTCTGCCTCTCTCTCTCTG